GGGGGTGGGGGCTGAGCTGTGTGTTCTGTCCCCGGGGCTCTAACTATAGTCAGAGTCCTCCCGGCTTTGATCCAGCACGTTCCCTGCTGCTCAGACTCCTCTCCCCACAGCCGCCCTCACCTTACTCCAAGGGTAACCGCACTCCCCTGATGCCCCCAGGCCTGGCATCCCGACTGGGGGGCCATGGGAGACCCTCCTTCCTGAAAAAGGGGGTGAGCTTCAGAAGGAAGCCCCAAACTGGTGCTTTAGAATTCCTACCGACCACGGAGCACAGTGTCTGCCCCGCTTCTGCCAAGGACAGGCGACGTCTGTGGGTCAGTCGCCAGGGCCCCATCCAGTCCAGCCCCCGGAAGCGGACCGCGGGCTGCAGCGGAGTGGATCTGTTGGTGCCGTTTTGCCTCCCTCTGCTGTCAACCCAGCATCCGCCTTGCGGGACTGTTAATGACGGCCTTTTATTATATTTACGCTTCTTAATTTTTCCTTCGCAGTGTACTCTTTCTCTAATTGAGCGTAGCGATTAGAATCTCCTTTCGGTGCCGCAGGTGCGCCACGTTGAATGTTGGAGGCGCTCAGTGGCTTCCCGGAACGCTGCGCATGCAGGAAGCCAGCTGCCCTCTCCTGCCGCCGCCTAGCACCAGCTGGGGGTGGGCATGGGAGCACAGAGGTCCTCAGGATGTCCTGAGGATTGGGGGCGGGGGTGGCTGGGAGGGAGGGCCTGGCATGGCATGGCAGGGACCTGGAGGCTCACAGAGCAGGATGGGGGTGGTGGGGGTGGGCAGCCTAGGATGGGGTGGACGGGGTCCAGCGCAGTATGGGAGGGATGGGCGAAGTCAGGTGGCTTCTGGGGGACCTTTGGGCTGGCCTGGAGGGCGCCCCACAGTGCTAAGAAGAGGCAGAGTGGGGGCCTATACCAACCTGACATGAAATAGCCACACACTGGTGTGTATGCACACTTACACACACACTTGTGCTTACACACTCCTGTTTGTACCTTCACAAACACATTGCCCACAGCACCACTCATGTGTGTACACACATTCATACTCACAGGTGCTCACACACACATCCATGCTCACACATGCACACACATTTATATATGCATCCATGCACATGTGTGCATATACATTATCCATACACTGACCTACATATGCACACAGACGGACACATATCCATACACGCAATCGTATACATACTCACACATTCATGTCTGTGTATGCACACATACACAAGCATTCATACACATACAAAATACTGGTGTACACACATTTATATTCAATACATACTCACATGTATGCACATTTAGTCATATGCATAGCTGCACACATATACATACATATACAGTTGTGCACATTATACAAATGCTCTCACAGTTATATACACACACACACTGGGCTGCAATAACTGCTCTGCCCTGTCCACCCCCTTGGTCACCTAATTCCAAATGGGTCCAGTGGTGTCTTGGGCTCCTTGTTCCTCTAGAGACCTAAGCTAATGCTATAGGCAGCAACCCCCCATATGCAAATGCTCCCCAGGACTTTGGGGACAGTCCACATCAGAAAGGCTTGCAGACCCTTTTGCACACATGTTCACACTTCGGTGTGAGTGCTGCCACAACTGGGTACAGCAGGTTTACCCACCTGGAGCCTCACACTGGCACCCAGGGCAGAGGGGGGTTTGCAGGGACCATGGAACCGTGGGGACTGTCTATCCCCTGTCACCAATGCAAGAGGTCCCCCCACTTTTGTTTTCACAAGTAAGCACATTGATGTCCCAGTCCAGGCCTGAAGCCAGCACTGAGGGTGGGATACAGACTCATGAAGAAGGGTGGCCTGGGCAGCGACCATTTCCTGGGCCAGCGGCCCACACAGCCCACTGGGCTGGGGCTGGTTTGCCCAGGACCCAGGGCCACATTGGGCCTGGGACGCTCTCTGAGCCCACCAAGTATGCATACTTGCCCTGGGAATATAACTGGGAGAGTCGGTGTCTGGTACATGCCACTGGATGTTCTTTGCCGAGGTGTACTGAACCATCCTGATTGTGTCTGCGTGTGCCCGTGTGAGCATGTGTGCATCCGTGTGAACATGTGTGCACCTGTGTGAGCATGTGTGTACCATGTGAGCACCTGTGTGAGCATGTGTGCGCCCTTGTATGTTTTCACCCATAGTGAGCATGTGTGGGTCCATGTGAGGATGTGTGCACCAATGTGCATAGGTGTGCACCTGTGCATATGTACGCACTTGTGAGGAGAAAGAAGTATGGCTGTCCCCTGGGCTGGCCCTGGGCTCAGTGTGTCTTGGGCTCCGTGTCCATGGGAGACCCTAGCCGACTCCACAAGCAGCAATCCCCTCCTGCAGGACAGAGCTCCGGGCGGGCCACGCAGAAGGCAGTGCAGGCACCCCGGACACTTGGGTGGGGGTCTGGTGTGTGTGCACCACGGGAGGCCTCCGTTAGCCCACTGAACCTCAGCATCTTTCCTCCTCAGAAACGGAGGAAATGGGGAAAACCCAGCCTGAACCAGGACTTTAGTTGACAAGGGGAGGGGGCAGCCCCTCCACCCACAGCTACTCCTACCGATTCCCCACCCCAAGTACCTTTTGAAGTTCCCAGCCCCTCATCGTGAGCCAAGGAGCAACTCTGGTCCTCCCGTCCACCCTTGAGAAGGGTTTCATTCTAAGCTGTGGGCGGTATCCCGGCCCCATGCCAACCAGACACACCCCCATTATCCCTGCATGCTGCTCACACCTCAGGGCCCCAGGGAGGGGCCTGAGCCCCGACAGGGGACAGCTCAGGGACTCCTGCGGCAGTGCCCTCCTGCCCTCTCACCGCAGCATTTGCTGAGCTGCAGACAGACATCCATGAGCTGACCAGCGACTTGGATGGTGCAGGGATCCCCTTTCTGGACTACCGGACCTACACCATGCGGGTGCTCTTCCCGGGAATTGAGGACCACCCCGTGCTCCGGGATCTTGAGGTAAGACCAGCCAAGGGTGCTAGAGTGATAACTGGCCACCCTTTGTATGGGCAGGAGGCGGGGGTGGGGGTGGGGGCAGATGCCACCTACTCAGGCCCCCCTGCTTGCTGGCACCTGCTCAGCCTTCTGGGGGAGGGAGGGCCAAACCTGGGGGAGCCTAAGAGCTGATGCAGGAAGCTCCCCCAAACTCTCCATTCCTATGTAAGCACTGTGGCCTGAGGGGCAGAGGTGAGAAGTGGGGACCTGGTCGCAGCAGGTCACGAGTGGGATGGGAGCCCTTGCCCCCAATAAACACTTCCAGGAAGGAAATCTGGCCAGCACATGGGTCCCTGCAGCTTCATTCAGGAAACCATGACAGAGCGGCTCTCTCCACATAGGTGTCACTGGGTAAACACATGGGCCACATGAGGGATAGAGGCATGGCCTTCTGACCTGTGGGGACCACTCCTCTCCAACATTTTGTCCTGGGCATCATCCAACTTCGTTACTGGGCCCCGTGTAGGGTACACTTGGTACTAGAAGGTATTGGAACCTTTTATAGAGATGAGCGAGAGGAAATGGCCCGCCGAAGTGAGGCAAAGAGGTGACCACACAGCCCCTGGTCCCTCGAAGTCCCACCATGTCTGCAGAGTGGACACACAGAGATGTTTGGTTGTTGCCTGGGGACTCACCGCAGAGAAGGCAGAGCCCGCACCCCCCGCCACACCACTGGACTGCGGGCTGCCACGGCAGCGGCCTTCCTGGGGCTCTCAGTAGGCTGCCCGACAATAAGAATGAGATGGATTGTGAGGCCCCAAGCCCTGAAATAAAGGCAGCCCCTGCCCAGGACTGGCCCCGAGGGTGACAACATGAGCTGTCCCGAGGAAGGGCAGCCATGTGCTTCAGCATGCACAAAGCAGGTCCCCTGGGATGGCCGCAGCTCTCTCATGCTGAGTTGTGAGCAAAGTGAGCACGCAAGTGTGTGGGCTTCTATGAGCCAGGCCACCCAGGTTCCCAGCTGATGGTGACCAAAAACAATCTTTTAGCCACACATGTATGATGTGTGTGCCGATCTATACATATCATATACATGCACGCACTCATACATGTGTACCCATAGTGACTTATGCCTCATATTCATGCATGTACACACACATGTGCACATACACGGCTGTATGTATCCCATATGTGTACAACTATAGATACATGCATTGATACATGTGTACATTTGTCTACCTATCTCATACATTCACATATATGTACATGTACAAGGAGGCTTCAAAAATTCATGAAAAATGGAAATGACAAGATAATGATATTCCACGAATATTTTCCCTTAAATCTGTACATAGAGCACACATACATATGTTTATGTGCATACATAGCTGTACAAATCTCCCATGAGGTCTTTGAAGAGTTTGTGGGGAAATTCCATAATCTGTTTTTTTCATTTATCCATGAACATTTGAAGCCTCCTTGTACATGTATACACACATGTACACATGTATGCACATGTGGGACACATAGCTGACACGTGCACATGTGTTCTTATGTTTGTTAGTCCGGGTAGGCTAGAGAAACAAATCTAGGGAGACAGTCATATTCTCTGATGTGAACAATCTTCATTCCAGCTGGAACCTTGTGAGTCTGCGTCTATAGGTAAAGTCAAATGAGGACAGCAAGATGCACCAGTTCACAGACTCAAAAATGTTGTCTTCATCTGGTTGAGTTCTGGTCAACTCAATGTGGGCTGCCTCACTCAGCCTCACCAGGGTGCCCATTGGCTGCCCTGCCTTTCAACCATGAGCCCCGTCACAAATTCTCAACAACCCTAGCCCCCTGACTAGGTCATAAACTTCAGACCAGTCAATCTGCTCTTGTCTTCTCCTCTAGTCCCTGTGAACCAGGTCACTGGATGTCACGGGCCAAACGCTACCCGTCTCTTTATTGCTGCATTTCTTTCACTTCCACTCAATAAGTGGATCCAGGGAGTCACCTAGCAAGCATTTCAGCCTGCCCACAGGCCTGGCAGTGGAAGCATCTCAGGCTCCTCCTGCTCCAGGGCTCTGGCTCCATCAGCATAGCTCCATGTGGCTTGTCAACAGGAATGTGTAGCAGAGACAGTTTCTTTAGTCAACCCGGACTAACATACATGCATGTATCTGTATATGGCGCATATGCACACACATGCATGTGAACATGTGAGCGTGTGTCTGTACATGCATCCTGTGTGCACCTCACAGCGCTCTGTGACAGCACTTCTGGCTGTCCCTTGCCTGGCCTCACCCTCCTGGTTCGTCCTCACCTCTCACCGTTCTCCTTTGTCTTTCCCTTTTATCCATTCTCTGGCTCCTCCTCAGGTACTTCAAAGTACCAGGTGACCAGTCTGTGAAGGAGGGTGACATTCCTGGTGACAGTGAGGTGGCAGTGATGGGAGGAGAAGGCAGTTGTGTAGGTGTGTGAGAGAGAGAGTGAGTGTGTGTGTGGCACAGTTTATGGAGACCGTGCTGAGGGTCGGGGACTGGGCCTCACGTCCAGCTTCCTGCAGAGCACCCGGCACATAGGGGACGCGCCTGGAATAGTGAAGGACAGCCAGAATGCTCCCTGGAGGCAAGGATGGTGAGACTGCCTCACGTACTTCGGACCTGGGAGAGCTCCATGGGTGTCTGTGCTCCTTGGTGAGGCGAACCCGGCAGGCCTGTGCTTGTTCTGGTTGGTAGTACCAGCGGGGTGCTCTGGCTCAGTGAAAGGAGAAGGAAAACCCTGCCCAGTCCCATGCCCCCCTCCCCACTAACAAGTGTCACTCTGTTTGAGCCCCTCGTCACAGCCACCGTGCTCACTCACCTCATTGAGGATTTAGGAAGGGACCTTGTTTTGACATCCCCTTGGGCCGAGGGCTTGGTAGAGAAAAATCAACATGAGACTTTGGGAGGGTGATCGTCTCAAGATATCTACCCTCTTTCACAAGCCCATCCCTAGCCCAAGTAGATCTCCTGGAAGGATTTGACTTTTAAATGGGATTTGCCAAGACCGTTCCCTATAGACCAGCCCGAGCACCTTCGAGCAGGGGACAGCCACCTCCCACCGGATGTCCCCTTGGACGCACACCCTTGCCCAGTGGCCCATGTGCCATGCCCCCTTGCACCCTTGCAATGGCGCTATACATCACGTCATGTTCGTTCTTGTGGACATTCCACATCTCATAGCTTAAAACCACCCTGCACCTGGGGTTGCCTTTATTTTCGTCCCCATTATCAGCAGGGGAGGACAGGTTGGGGATGGGGCATCTGATCCCAGCCCCCTGCTCCCAAAGGCAGTAACCATCAGCCTTATCCATTTCCCAAGAGGTGACCGACTGGCTGTCACCTGCAGATGCTGGCTCCAGCCGCTCAAAGCAGCGTTCTTATTTCCAGCAGGCTTGCCAATTAATTGCTTGCAGACAGAAATCAGCTCTTAACCTTCCCATACTAGCCTGAGGCTGTGTGAGGGTCCAGAGGCAGTGGTGGCTCTCTGGTGGAAGAAATCTCTCCACACATTCCAGGCCAGAGATGAGCCCCCCCCACTCCCCTGGGGGAAGGCGTGCCTGTTCCCCACCAGTGTACCTCACCTGCTTATCAGTGGAGAGTTGAGGGAACAGGTTTCAGGGTCTATCAAGCTAAGATAGACCAGGAAGAAAGGCCTGGTGATCTATCTCCCAAGAGTCAGCCAATGGAAGTCTGAGGACAATAATAGCCCGAGGCACCCTAATCTTTGTGAGGCTGGGACAGGGGGTCTCTGTGATTCAGCCCCCCCCCCCCCACACACACACACACAGGGCAGCTAACAGCAAGGTGAGATCCGGCTTGGATAGAGGGAATATTGTTTTTCCACCTGCTCGTTGCCACCAGAGGCACAAGGAATCCCTGTGGGATTTCTGAGTCTGGTCACCTTCTCAGGAAGCTGCTGACTGGTCTCAAGGTGCAGTTCACAATCCTTTGGGCCACAAGCATGCCTGTCAGCTGGTTGGCTGAGGGGGTAAAATGAGGGGGTGAGGAAGGAGGGGTCCTATGGCCAAGGAGGCTACCCTCTGGGCAAATCCAGGTGTCAGGCATGGAGCAGCCAGCAGTCACTCTGCAGCCAAGTCCAAGCATATTGAAAATCCCCCATCCCTTACTCACCATCTCAGCCACTCTTTGGCACCCCAAGGCATGAGATTTACTCTCTGGCGTGGCTTCACCAGATTTCCTGTGGCTGGGTCTCCTCTTTACAGAGCAGAGAGATCCTCGTGCCTGCCCTCTGCCCCCCAGGGCATGGAAACTAAGGGGGTCTGCACAAAGCCACCGCTGGAGGGTGGGGTGGGATGGCCAGGTCACAGCCCACTGCTGTTTAAGTGTGTGCTGCCAACCCCTTAAAGAGTCAAGTCATCGAGATCGTGCCTCACTTAACACTGGACATGTTGTCAGGCGAGGACAGTCCCTGGAGAAGGGCATCATGCTTGGTCAAGTGGAGGGGCAGCGGAAACAAGGAAGACCCTCCAGGAGATGGACAGACACAGTGGCTGCAGCAACAGGAACCAGTGTGAGGACAGCACAGGACCAGGCAGTGTTCCGTCTTGCTAAGCAGGAGGTCACTGTGGGTCAGCACCAGCTCATCAGCACCTGGGGAGGTTCCTAAAACCTTAGGATGAAGTCATGCTTCTTCTGGCTCAGCCAAGGCTGGAGGCCGGAGGTCACGGGAGGTCTCAGGTTGTCCTGCACTGACTTGTTGGGCATCTGAGTCTCAAAGGGAACACCGCTGGCCTGCAGGTGGCTTTGCTAAAACCCCGCTTCCTGGGGCCCCAGCCCCGCTGTCCAGAATGGACTGCATGTTGCACAGGGAGAAGGCGGAGCCAAGATTGGCCCCCAGCACCCATCTTCCCCCCAGGCCTGCCCCCCCCAGCTGCAGCTGGAGGGGAGGGTTCAGCAGACTCGCGCAGGCTGAGCTCTGGTAGAAAGGGCAGGGTCTTTGGATCAGCAAGCCTGAGTTTAGAATTCCTGTGCTGCCCCACCCCATGCTCAGTGCTGAGCCCTGTCACTCTGCTGTCCCTCCACTCCACTGCTGTTCTCTGATGGCACCCCCAGATACACCAGTCTCCCTGCCCTCTCCCTGGTGGAGCAGGGTCCCCGAAAGTGTCCCTGTGAATGGCAGACCTAGAGACAGTCAGCTTCCCGGTTCCCCCTGTTGCAGGGGCACAAATGTGCGCAATCTCCCCCCACCCCCAGAGAAGTAAAGTGACTTGCCCAAGGTGGCACCGTGTGGAAATGCCACAGCCCAAGTGGAACCCAGGAGTCCTGTCCCTGAGGCCACTGGGCATTAACTCATCCCTGGGGACTGGGGAGGGGCAGCGTTGGTCACTCAGGAAGTAAGTCCTGGCGTTCCTCAGGGTTCTGTGAGGATGACCCGGCCTAAATCCCCCAGAAAGGGTTCCAATCCCAGCATCCCTGATCCCGTGCCAACAAGGGTCAGCCTCTCTGTGCCTGAACGAGGGAAGGATCCACCCCGTGACTGAGATACAGAAGTGAGGCACTTGGCACCACGGCTGGCTCCAGGGAAGGGCTGGGTGGTATTGGCCAGGGACGGGGCGCCAGCGTGGGCACAGGTCCGCCCGTGGGGAGGGCACGGTGGCAGCCAGCTCCCCCACCTCTCCCCCGTGCCTCCCCCACAGGCCCCCGGCTACCGGCAGGAGCGCGTGGAGAAGGGCCTGAAGCTCTTTGCGCAGCTCATCAACAACAAGGGCTTCCTGCTGTCCTTCATCCGCACGCTGGAGTCCCAGCGCAGCTTCTCCATGCGCGACCGCGGCAACGTGGCCTCGCTCATCATGACCGTGCTGCAGAGCAAGCTGGAGTACGCCACCGACGTGCTCAAGCAGCTGCTGGCCGACCTCATCGACAAGAACCTGGAGAGCAAGAACCACCCGAAGCTGCTGCTCCGCAGGTGAGCGGGCCAGGGGTCCAAGCAGACGCCCTGCGCATGCGCAGGGAGAGGGTGGGGCGGGCCCGCGGGCCACGTGCTCGGCTGCTAACCACCGGGTTGGTGGCTCAGGCCCATGGAGAGCGCTTGGGAAGCAAGGCCTGACGATCGTTTCCCTGCAAAACCAGCCCCGGAAAGCCCTGGCGGAGCCCTGCTCTGCTCAATTACTGGTGGGGGCGCCCTGACTGCACGGCACCGGGTTGTGCCTGGTCTGCCAGGAGGGCTCCTGGGGAGTTTGGTGCCATCCACTGGCCAGGGACCCAGGGTCTCCATCACCCCTGCCTTCTTCTGCCCACGCCTCCCCCAAACCTCCACCCACTTCCCTCCCTGTGCTTTGGGCCCTTTCCACCATGCCGTTCCCCCCACCAGGAGCCCTGGTGGCAGAGTGGATATGTGTTGCACCGTGATCCACAAGGTCTGTGGTTTGAAACCACCAGCTGCTCCTCGGGCTTTCTACTCAGTGAGTGAGTCTCAGAAACTCACAGGGGCAGCCCCACCCTGCCCCGGAGTGTCGCTGTGACTCACTTTTGACGCGATGGCAGTATTCTGGTGACCAGATTTTAACATTGGTAAAGCAGGACACCATTGATAAAATTCATATCCTGGCGAAATAGCCACATGGCAGCCGAAAACTGTAGACCCTAGCTTGTCGTGCATTCTTTCAAAAAATCGGGATTTTAAAAACATGCTGCGGGTTGCGGGAAAAATTGTTAAAAATCGGGACTGTCGCGCCAAAAGCGGGACATCTGGTCACCTTTAGACCATCCCTGGACGTACCTAGATCAGACCTGGAACTAGGACAGAGGTCCCCACCCCCTTCACCCCGTCACCCCACCATCCCAGGATGCTCAGAGTATCTGGAGGAAGACAGCATTTCAGGGAGCTGGGGAGCAGTGCGGAATGTCAGAGACAGAATCGGGCGATTTCCCGGGAAGCCTGGAAGAGGAACCTGGGGCAGCCCCAGTCTAGCCCCCGACTGAATCAAAGCCCTGAGTTCTATACAAGGTGCCCCATGCCACCCAGCAGTATTTCCTGGCACCTGCTGCCAGCTGGGTGATCCTCACGCTCGGTCCCACCAGCCCCTCAAGCCTCTGGCTCCATCCCTGCCCCTGTTGGAATGCTGGGTGCTCAGTGCGCTCCAGGTGTCCCCAGGGGAATCATCCCAGCCAGTACTCCACCTGGCCCCACACTGACTGCCGCTTTCTGCCTGCTCCATGTCCACCCTGGGTGTCTAGGCTGCAGGCAGGGCCCCGGGCTCGGGTTGACCCAGGACATGGTATGGTCTCTCCATGTGTTTATCCCGGGTCTTTTCTGGGTGCCCTGGGCATTCACCAGCGCAGCTGCAAAAAGCTGCCGCACATAGAAGCCATCCCACGGCTCCGGGAACAGCAAGGTAGATGGTTTTGATTTTTGTTTTATTTTCACCACGCAGCCACCCACCGGCATAATTCTAGGGTTGCCACCGCCTGGCAGAGCTCCCACCGACAATTTCCCGTCGTGGTCTCGCGCCGTGTCTGTGAGATCCTCCCCTTGTTTTCGATTCCCCTCTCTCCTAGGTGCCCCCTCTCCTCCATCTCCTTGGCTTCCTCTTGCCCCCAGCTCCCCGTGCCTCCCAAGACTCCTCCGCTCCCCTCCCAGCATCCTCCTGGGCTGGCAGCTGCCCAGCTGCCTAGGGGCTTCAGCTCTGTGTGTTTTCTGGCAGCTGCACCTTACAGCGCATCCCCCTCACACCTGGATGGGGAGGTCCCTCTCTGGAGCTGGCTGCACACTAGTGCCAGCTGAGTGTGGTTTGTTTTCTCTAAGTGGTTGCTATCCACAGGGTCCTTGGCTTGCTTCCAAAGAATAGGCGTAAACGGGCTTGGGCTGTGGCATGAAAGAGTCACGTTAGACTCCAGGAGGAACTTCCTAACTTTGCAAACAAAACCCCTTCGCAACATTGCAGACAACAGCTTTTGAAACCTATTGTCGTCCCTTGGGATGGACTGGGTATCTGCCTTGGGGGGTGGGAGCATTGGGGGAGGGGGTGTCTCTGGTGGTCCTGGGAGTCCTTGCTGAGAGTCCTTTTTTTTTTTTAAACCACAACCCACTTCTCTTAGTATTTTTCTTTCTGTCCAATGCCAAATTCGTGTCTCCCCAGTTGGCAGTCTTCTCTGCTTCAAGGAACACACTTGCCCGATAAAGGGATCTTACCACTTACCATGGAGTCAGTTCCATTCACGGTGACGCCAAAGGGCTTTCAGTGGCTGGTTTGAGGATGTAGGTCGCCCGGCCTTTCTTCGGAGGTCCTCTGGGGTGGACTGAGCGTCAAACCTCTGGTTAGCAGCCAAGCACGGTAGCTGTATTCCGCCAGCCCAGGACTCCGTGAAGCTCTGCTAGGCTGCCTGATCCCCTATGGTGGCTGCAATCTCAGAAACTCAAAGGGGCAATTCTACTCTGACCCCAAGGTGGCTCTGAGTGGCAGTTTTGTCCTTGTTTGTTTCACCATCATCAGAGATCTCTGGTGGCAAGCTGGGTTCAAACCAACCAGCCCCTCCCCAGGAGAAAGATGAGGCTGTCTACTCCTGTGGAGACTTAGAGTCTTGCAAAAGCTGTAGAACAAAGGTGCAGAACTATCTTTGCCCAGGGCCATTTGGAGATTCATAACATCACTTGTGGGCCATGCTGGGCAAATATTCAATAAACTCCTTCCCAAGGTGATGGCTGGAACTGCTTCTCTTTGGTGAGCCGTGTGATGTCAACTGGTCTTGGTGAGTTTAAGGGCCTTATCTGGCCTGCAGGAGCCGGGTGACATCATAGTTACCTGTTGGGCCTTGATCCATAAGGTCAGCAGTTCGACACCACCAACTGCTCCAAGGGAGAAAGGTGAAGTTTTACACTCTTGTAAAAAGTTCGCAATCTTCGAAACCTCCAGGGGCAGTTCCACCTTGTCCTGTAGGGTGAATATGAGTTGATCTCCACTCAATAGCAGTGAATTTTGTTTTGTTTTGTTTGCCCCTTGGCCGGTGTCCCCACCTCGCTGTGACTTGGAACCAACTCCAGGGCAGTGGCTTTATTTTGATGAGCCACAGGTAACACTTTACATTTAGAAGAGCTCAGAGCAAATAGACTTAAATGCCGTCCTTGGTCTGCTTCAGGAGCTGCTGTCCCATGCTTAGCAGCCACAGGGGGCCCCGAGCGCTCGGCTTTGTGGGCAGAGCGCTTGGCTTTGTGGGCAGAGCTGGCCTGAAAGTGTTTCCCCCTCCGCCCCCCACACCTCCCAGCTCTGGGCAGAGAGCTTGTCAGGTCACTGAGGGGCATCCAGGACCCAGCCCAGCCTCTCCCCTGGCCTGCCTGGCCAGGGAGCTCACCACCTGTTTTTCTCATTGCCTGCGTTCTCGGGACCACCAACAGGACTGAGTCTGTGGCCGAGAAGATGCTGACCAATTGGTTCACCTTCCTGCTCTACAAGTTCCTGAAGGTAGGGCTGGATCCGGGGTGCTGCCTCGGCACCCCACCTCCTAACCATGCCATAATCTCCCCGGTAGCCTCTTACAACTCCTGCCGGAAATAGAGCCCCGGGCCTCACTGCAAAGACCAGCCTCTAGGCTGTGCCTCAAGGCAGGTTTTCCCCAGTTGGGGGACAGCTCGAGCCTCCTAGAGGCTCTCACCCCCACCTTTTAAACACAGTAACCTTTGATCCCCTGCCCACTCCCTCCTCTCCCTTTATGCCCCCAGCCCCAGCACAAAGGCAGGCATAGGGTTTGGGGAACATCTGCTCCCAGTTAGTCCCCAGTTTCCCCTGGAGTTTTCCCCTCAGCAGGCTGACCTCAGCCTGGGGATGGTGCTCAGAGGAGGTAGGCAAGGGTCCCAGAGGAGGCAGAGATGGGGCTCAAAGGAGGTGGGGATGGGCGACGGAAACGGGGCCTGGTGGGCTGGGAGATGATACCAGGATGGGAGAGCTGGAGAGAAGCACCGGGTGTAGGAGACAGAAGAAGGGCTTGCAGCAGCTCCAGGTGGAAGGTCTGGGACCCCTGGAGGCACCCAGCGTGTCCCCTCTCGACTGTGCCACCAGGAGTGCGCTGGGGAGCCGCTCTTCTCCCTGTTCTGCGCCATCAAGCAGCAGATGGAGAAGGGGCCCATCGACGCCATCACCGGCGAGGCCCGCTACTCCCTGAGCGAGGACAAGCTCATCCGACAGCAGATTGACTACAAGACCCTGGTAAGTCCCTTCCCAGCCACCCCGCTGCACCTGGAGGGCTGGGGCCCCGGACAGGGACAGAGAGCTGTGGACAGGCTGTGTCACTTAAATGGGTCCAGCCAGGCGACCATCCACTGGTACAGGTCTCTGCAGGCGTCTTCTGGATCTGGGCATCTAGATCTGCGGACTCACAGACCCAAGCAACCCTTCCTCAGAGTACTGTGACCCTGGGCGTCGGCCTGACTGGTGGGGCCAGATGCCCGGTCATCGGCTGACTGCTGGCTGGGGCGCCCTGGACTTCAGTTTCCCCCTCTGCCGTGGAGAATGAGCACTCGGCAGGGGTGGGCATGGGACAAAAACAGATACGTTTCCCAAGCTCAAAGTCCTCTCCAGTTGGGGAGGACGGCGTGTGGCCTTGCAGTGTGGCCTTCTGCCACACGTGGGCCACATGAGGTGTCGAAAGTGACTCCGTGGTATCTCACAGCAACAACAGCTAAGCTCCAACCGGTCCCCTGTGTCGCCACATGAGCCCTACAGTAAGTGACCATCCAGCAGGGGCCCCGCGGGAGCCCGAGCAGCTTCAAGCCGGGCTTCAGGAGACTGGCCCACCAGGACTAGGTCCCTCATCTCTGTGTGCGTGCGTTTCCTTATCTGAAAGATGGGGATTGTGCTAGAACTTTCAAGAACGGGGGGCTGCTTCACAAGTTGCTGAGCAGGTGGGATGAGATAAGAAGCATCTGGGGGTAACACGGTAAGCATTCTCAGTGCTGCTCACACCGCCCCCACTCAGCTGCCCCCAATTCCCTCCGAGGATGTCCACTGGCCACCTGCTCTGGGGAGAGTCCTCGCCCACCGAGAGAGAGGAGAGGAGGTGGGAGGAGGGAATGAGGAAAGCCAGTGAGAGACAGGTATGGGGGTGCTGGGTGGTGACCCCAGGAGTGGAGGCTGGAGAGGCAGCCACGGAAAGAGAAGGTTTTCCTCCCCAGGTGGAAATGGGATGGCTTTCTAAGAGGCTATCAGGCAGCGGGCAGTGTCGTGTCTCCCATGACCTCCAACCTGGTGAGCAGACTGAGGCTCAGCGCCCGAGGCCAGCTGGGGAGATGTCCCTGCCCAGAGGTCACTGTCCCTTGCCTGCACCCTGGTATCAGAGACCCTGGCAGCCCTGTGGGCGTCTTTGCAGACCCCCCAGGCGTGGGCTCTGATGAGGACTTGGAGCAGCAGAGTGTGCACAGAGGGAGACAGAGAGAAGACCTTCACAAAGTAGAGCCCTGGACAGAACTCTCTTTGAGCCCTCTCCGGCCAGCCTCGTCCCCTCTCCGCTCCCTTTCTTTGCCTCTGCTCAGTGGCTTCCCAACACAGCATCAGTCAGACACCAGGCTGCGCAATGAAGCTCCGTACCAGATCGCAGCCTCCTCCTTCCTGAGGCCGGGCTGTTGTTGGCACGCTGAGCCTGCCTCCTGGAACCCCGGGGCCCCGGCTGAGAGGGGCTGGGGACTGGATGGAGGAGAGTCGTGGGATGGGCAGCCTTGCTGCCCCGAGAAGCAGTGGCTGCAGGGAGGTTAGCCAGCCCCAGGGCCCTTGGAGTCTGGGAAAGGGCCTGCCCACAGGGAGGGTGGGGACACCCCTGGGCCCCCCACCCCCACCCCAGCCTGGTCCCAGAGGACAGAAAGGGAGAAAGGGACTCGGTGGAAGACAGGCTCACAGGACCCGAAAAACTGTGGGTTGAAATCAAGAGCCGGGCGTGGTGGGGTTGGGTGATGTCTGGGGAAGCCTGGAACTGATGGTCACCTTGGCCTGGGCAAGGGGTGCCTGCTCAGAGGGCTTCAGGGGTGCAGAGCGGGTAACTCGATAGTCCAGGCACCTCACCTCTTAGCTATCTAGTTAGCACTCCATCTAGGACCAGCTCGGCCCATAGAGTCAGTGCATAGTCTCAGGCCCTACCTGGCTGAGTCTGCAGCCTAACAAGACCCCCAAGTGGCCTCCGATCACTGGCATGCCAGAGGCCTGGCAGGAGGCCCTGGTGGGGTCAGCCCCAGGCAGGCTGCTCAGAAATCAGCCCAGGACGGTGAGGTGACAGACAGTGTGTGTCCCGCCGTGTGGAGTGGGACAGAGGCAGCCCATCTTTCTGTGGGGCCTCCGCATCCTTGAAGCCCCCTCTCTAGGCCACTGTGAGTCTCCCAGGGCAGTAAACCAGCCTGGAGGCCACACCCAGGCCATTGGCATCTCCCAGCTGACTCAGCCCCTGCCTGCTGATGGCTTGCAGGAGGAAGGTCAGAAAGGGCCCTGCTGTCCCTTGGGGGGCTGGACTCCATCACTGCACTCAGGAAGGACAGGCTTTTGGAGGCTGGTGGGAGGAGGGGCGGGGCAGGGAGTGGACACTCAGAGAGAATGCCCGGTCCAGGGCCCCTTCCACCGTCTCCATCTGGGACATGTTCAGGGTGAGAGTTTGTTCTTAGCGATGTAAGGAACTTCAGTCTTTTTCTTCTGAATGGAACGAGCATGCCTCCCCCCGCCACCCCCACCCCCACCCCCCCGTTGAGATCGAAGCCGTCTTGCCTCTAATGAAAGGCAGGTGTTGGGGCCGGGGTCCTAATTGCTACCCCATGGGGCAGACGAGGGGGCTGCTGTCTGGCCTGCAAACCAGACTTGGCAACTGGGAGGGTTCCAGGGCAGAGAGAGTTCAGCTAGGAGACTCAGAAGCCCAAGCAACAGGGGCAGAGGGAGCCCTGCCCTAGCTTATTCCTGCACCCCACCACCCACCTCTCTCCCCCATGATCCACTAGGCCCCGCATAGCCTCTTCAATCCAGAAAGAAGCCCAGAAGGGAACTCTTGGAAAGACCCCCGCCATTGACTGCCAAATCAATCCCCACTGAGCAGCCCCATTTACCCAAAGCTGATCCCCAGCCCTTTCTTCCAAGGTGCCCCTGGGTGGGCTCGAACCTCCAGCCTCTCAAGGAGCAACTGAACGCATTAACCCTTGACACCATCTCGGTCTCCCGGAGAGGGCCCAGGGTTTTCTAAAGTACAGATGTCTCCTTCCAGCGTTCATTGGACACTCTTAAAATGTACTGTCTAGGAGGCCTTCCCTGGCCCCCGGGGCCTCATGGGACAGACCTGATCCCAGTGCTGCCTTGCTGGGGAGACCAGGTGAGACAAGTGACCTAATGCCTGGTCTCCGGAGGCCAGCCTCACTCAGGTGTAACTCAACATGAGAAGCCTCCGCCTTCCGACCGCTTGAGTTGTGTTCATCGTCAAAATGGTACCACCGTTTCTCCATCCTTCGGCGCCCTGGGGCTGCAGTGGTTACTTGCTGGACTGCTAACGGCAAGGTCAGCAGTTTGAAACCACCAACCGCTTCTCAGGAGGAAGACGGGGCTTTCTGCTGCTGTAGAAAGTTACAGTCTCAGAAACCCACGGGGGCACCTCTGCCCTGCTGCTATGAGTTGGACTTGCCTTGATGGCAGTGGAGTTTGTGTTTTTGTTGTTTGTGGGTTCTAAAAAGAGACGTGGAGACCTAAAACTGGCAGCGGCCTGGTCCCCTGTACAAGAGATCAGGTTTCCCCAGAGCTTGGAAAGGTGCCTGGAGTCAGCCTTTCAAAGGGCATGCCTGGTTATCTTTCTAGCGACCATGCTAATCTTCTTGTAGATTCTCCCACCACTGGTCACCCTGGAAGCCCCACAAAAAGGGTGGTTTATAGGGCCAGGTTCTCATGTGCTCGGAGTCTGTGTGTTTGAGACAGCCGGGTAATACACCCGGGCTGGGTCCTGAGCACCACGCACACTGGCTGCAGACCCTCACCCACCCCTGCACCTCCATTCCCTGCAGACAGTTAGGGTATTGGTTCAGACCCAAGGCCATGCCTGTCAGGACAGTGGGTTTGGTGGCGTCTGGGTCACCGTGCCCCTCCCCAGACCACTCTGGAAGGAGGGGTCATTCAGGATGGAAGAACTACAGAGTAGATATCAGACAGTGTAAGACATGAAAAAAATAACAACAATTTCTAAATTATCCAGGGTTCGGGAGGGCAGGAGGGTTAAAAATGAGGAGCTGAGACCCAAGGTTCAAGTAGAAAGAAACTGTTTTGAGACTGATGATGGCAACAAATGTACAAATGCGCTCGACACAATGGATGAATGGATGGATTGTGATAAGAGTTGTATGAGCCCCCAATAAAATGATTAATTTTTTAAAAAGAATAAAATAAATAACCACACACACACAAAAGAACTGCAGAGTTCTCCCTGCTGACCTCCCCACCCTCACCCCTGTCCCCTCCCTCCGCCCACCCTATAGGTCCTGAGCTGTGTCAACCCAGACAACGTCAACAGCCCCGAGGTCCCTGTGAAGATCCTCAACTGTGACACCATCACCCAGGTCAAGGAGAAGATCCTGGATGCCATCTTCAAGAATGTGCCCTGCTCCCACCGGCCCAAGGCGGCAGACATGGACCTGGGTGAGTGGGCTCCCCGCCCATGCACCTCCTCACCTCCCCCTCGGAGCAGTGCAAAGCTGGGATGCAGATTGTGGAGCTACGGGCTAGGGGGCCATGCAGGATCCGCCTGGAGCCCGTGGGGCTTGCCCTTAGGCCTGCGTGGACTTGGTCAGAGATGGTTACAGAGCGGCGGCCCTGGCGGGGGTCCTTGAGCAGTGGAGAGATGGAGTGAAGGTATGACGTCTAGCCTGGAGGGGCCGCCATCTCCCACTGCCTCTTGTTCCCCAGGCTGTCCCTGGATGAAGTTCTTTGTCAATCATTTCAGCTGACCACGGAGGCACCTGGGTCTGGGTCAGTCACCGAGGTCAGTGCCAATGAGCTGTTATCGCCTGTGGGGGTAGGGTGACATGTGACTGGACTGTTCCATGGATAGATGGCTTAGCCCACAAACAAGGTCACTTTGCATCAGGACATCGCCCTGGGGAGTCCCAGAGGGGCTCTGAGGAGGCCAGGGAGTGGGCTGGCACAGCCTGGAGAGGTGGCTCACACCTGGGTGTGAGTTGTTGGTGCCAAAGAGTTGTTAGTGCTTATTGTGGGGCTTCCATCCAGTTCCTTAACCTCTGTGTCTGTTTCCTCACCCCGAGTGGAGAGGATGGTGGGAAGTAGGTGAGGCCTGTCACTGCAGCGCCTGGCCCTCACAGGTACCACGGACCTCAGCGCTGCTGTGATGGATGGTGGGGAGAGGTTGCCGGGGAAACAGGTCTGTACGGGTGGGGCACCGAGAGAAGGCGTCTGGGTGTGTGCATGTGTGTGTGCCTGGAGAGTCTCAGCCCCACAGGAGTGGGAGGATCCTCTGGCCTCTGAACTGGCTGGGTCGGGCCAAGCTGGACAGATGGGCCTCTCTGCTGGCTCTGAGCCAGAGCACATGCCCATGTCTTCCCACTACCAGCCATGTCCTGATGCCCCCAGACCCTCCGGATCAGGAAACTCTGCTCACAGATGTGCCCTTCCCCCAACTGAGGTGGCCTGGCTCCAGGCTCCAGGCTCCAGGCTCCAGGCTCCAGGCTCCAGGCTCCAGGCTCCAGGTCTTGCACTGAGGCCAAGCACGGAGGCTGTAGAATCGAGATGGGGACACAAGCTCCCTTCCAGCTGTAGGCGTCTGGGTTCATGTAAAAGTAAGGGGTGGCTAGGAAGGCAAGTGTACCCCTGGGTGCCCAGTGCTAGAATCCTGAGTCTGTTGCCATGCACGTACCAACAACCCCACCCCCACCCCGACCCCAAAGCACAGCGAGTGGATAACCTCCAAACCCAAACCAGTTGCCTCCAAGTTGACTTCATGCAAGGCTACCCCTTGCGCATCAGAGTGGAGCTGTGCTCCCTAAGGTTGTCAGGGGCTGAGTTTGGGGAATTGGATCACCAGGACTTCTTCCGACTTCTAAATACGACTGGGCAAGAGCTGCCTCCTCAAATGGAGTCCAACACGATGATGTGGATGGAGTAAAGCATTGAGGGCCTTCATTTGCTGAAGGGCTAAGACTCACAATGAGAATCAACAGCTTCGAAAAACCCATTAACAATCAGAATGTGCATTGTCCAAAAGTATGATTTTAGCAAAGTTGGAAGTCATCAAAAATGGAGTGAACTGTTATCCGGGACCATTAGTGAGCTGAGATGGACAAGTGACGGTCATATGGTTTACTCTGCTAGAATGACCAATTCAAGAGGAATGATGTCATCTTCCTCGTCAAAGAGAACATGTCACGATCTGTCTTAAAGTACAGTGCTGTCTGTGATAGGGTGCTCTCTGTCCACCTTCGAGGAAGTCCAGTTCATACAACTATTATTCAAATTTATGCAGCAACCACGAAAGCTAATGAGGAAGAAATCGAAGAATCCTATCAACGACTTCAGCCCGCAATTGATCAAACAGGCCATCAAGACACATTGATAATTATTGGCAACTGGAATGCAAAGGTGTGAAACAAAGAGGACGGGACAGTAGCTGAAAATATCCTGGTGACAGACATGAAGCTGGTGGTCGCATGACAGAATTGTACAAATCAATGACTTGTACGCTAACGATAACTTTTTTTTAACAACGTAAGTGGTTGGTACATGGACTCAGCAGATAGAATACACAAGAATTGTATAGACTACATCTTTGGAAAGAGATAATGGAGCAACTCAATCTTAGCAGTCACATGAGGTCGGGGGCTAACTGTGGAACACCATCAAGTTGCTGGTATGTAAGGTCAGGTTGAAGATGAAGAAAAATTTTTAAAGTCCACAAGAGCCAAAATGTGACCTCGAGTACATCCCCCTTAAATGTTGAGATCTCAACAGGAGAGTGGACGTATTGGGCACTAAGGACAGAAGACCCAAGGAGTCGTGGGAGGGCACTGACAACACCCTGCATCAAGAAAGCAAAAGGTGATAGAAAAGGCAAGAAAGAAAATGAAAGGTCACAGTGGACGTCTGAAGAGACTCCGAGACTTGCTCTTGAATGGAGACTGGCTAAAACAAATGGAAGGAAAGAGCTGAGTAGGAAATCTCAAAGGGCAGCCGGAGAAGACGAAGAAAAGCATTATAATGAAATGTGCAAAGACCTGGAGTTAGAAAATCAAAGAGGAAAAACAGGTTCAGCAGATCTCAAGGTGAAAGAACTGAGAAAATAATTCAGGCTTTGAGTTACAATCGTAAAAAGATGCTCTGAGCAAAATATTGAGCGATGCAAGGAGCATCAAAAGATGGGAAAGACACAGAGTAACCGTTCCAAGAACAACCGGTCAAGATCCAGCCATTTCGGGAGGTAGCATTATAACCAAGGAAGGAAGAGGTCCAAGCTGCCCTGAAGAATTAGCAAAAAGCAAGACTAAGAATTGACAGACTACCAACTGAAATGTTTCAACAAGCTGATGAAGCCCTCACCCGTCTGTGCCAAGAAATTTGAAAAACAGCTACCTGGCCAACCGGCTGTAAGAGTGCCATCTTTGTGCCCATCCCAAACCAACAAAATGCAGACATTAGTGAAAAATATCATTACTATCACATGCAAGTAAAATGTTGTTGAAGAAATTAAACGCCAGCTGCGGCAGTACGCGGACAGGGAGCTGCCAGAAATTCAAGCTGGGTTCAGAAGAGTACCTCTAATAAGAGACATCGTGGCTGATGTCAGCTGGATCTTGGCTGAAAGCAGAGAACACCAGAAAGAGGTTTCCTTGTGTTTTCTTGATATGCAAAGGCATTTGACTGTGTGGATCATGACAAACTATGGACAGCCTTTGGAAGAGTGGGGGTTCCAGAACACTTCAGCGTGCTCATGTGGAAGCCACACACCGACCAAGAGGCAGTTGTGTCATCAGCACAGGGGATACTTCCTGGTGTGAAAATCAAGAGAGGTGTGAGACAGGGTCGGGTCCTCTCTCCGTACTTATTCTATCTGTATGGTGAGCAAATGATCGGAAGAGCTGGACTCCATGGAGAAGAACACAGCATCAGGACTTGGCAGCAGACGGACTGACCACCTGCTGGACACCGGTGGCTGAGCCTTGCTTGCTGAGAATGGGCAGGACTTGAAACAGTTGCTGATGAAGATCAAGTCCTGCAGCCTCAGTGTGCCTTACAACTTAATGTCAAGCCAATGGAAACCCTCACAACTGGACCGATAGACAATGTCATGCTCAATAGAGGAAATATTGAAGCTGTCGAAATTTTCCTTTTGTTTTGATCCAGGGTCATTGCTCATGGGAGCATCAACCAAGCAATTAAAGGACATATTGCCTTGGGTACATCTGCCACATGAGACCTCTGTGACATGTCATAGAACAAGGATGTCACTCTGAAGACCAGGGTGCCCCTCCCTAAGCCAGGGCATTTCCCAGTTGCCCCCTACGTATGCCAGATTTCTTGGCACAGACCAGTGAGTGCGTCATCAGCTTGTTGAAGCATTTCATTGGGTAGTCTGACAATTCCTGGAGTCTTGTTTTTTTTCCTAATGTCCAGTGCAACTTGGACTTCCTCCTTCAGGATCATTGGTCCTTGATTATAATGCTACCTCTTGAAATGGCTGAATGTTGACCAGTGTTTAGGGTACAGTTATTTAATGAATAGGGAATTTCTAAGAAGAATTGAGGTGTTTGCATTACAGTGTTTGCCAAGTGTACCCAGAGCATGGCGGGCTTCCAGAAGAACAAATGAATGTGTCATAGCAGTGTAGCCAGGATGCTCCTTAGAAGTGACGGTGGAGAGATGTTGTCTCGCGTATTCGGGATATGTCGTGTTGTCAGAAGGGGCCAGTCATCGGTCAAGGATAGCACACCGGGGAAGGCAGAAGATCGGATGGAAAATGAAAGACAGTCAAGGAGATGGGTTTACACAGCGGCTGCAACAGCGAGATCCTGATGGATAGGATGGTGCAGGATCGGGCAGGGCTTCATTCTGTGGCACATAGGGTCACCGTGAGTTGGAACCGACTTGATGGCAGCTAACAACGACAACTCCCCTCACATGACTAAGGGGGGTCGTGTGGTCGCCCCTGGGGAGTCAGGCCTGCAAGCAGGGACAGGCAGAGGGGAGAAGCCGCTAGAGCAGACAGCTCAGACTTCAAAGCCCCTCTGTGTCCCGGGGAAGGGGCTATGCTGAGCCCCTGAGAAGATTCCTCCTAACCCCCCGGAGGACCCTCTGCCTTTGTTCTAAATGGGGGGGGGGGGTGCAGGAGTTGCGTACAGAAAGCCCTGCTTCCCGTCCCAAAGCAGCCAGGGTCTCAATAAGATGGGGTGACCTCAGAGATCCAATGCTTCTCCAGCCCCCGATCCACTCAGCCTCTCAGACAGGAGAGGCAGGGCAGGCTTCCCATCCTGTGGGCATGGACAGCAAAGCCCACAGAGAAGTTTCTAGAGTGAGGTGTGATGATTATCAAAAGTTAGTTCATGCTGAATGGAAATATAAAGGGCACCGTCATCCCTCCCCAGGCCTCTCTTCCCCATCCGGTTGCGGGCACTGGGCACAGATCACCTCCTAAT